AAATGACATAAGTACCATTATACATAAAAATATAAAACTAATCATTAGGGGAATTTATATTGTAGGGCTTTGTTTTCATTTAAAATCATTTTTAGTATGAAATAAAAAAAAAACCATTTACAATTATATATATATATATATATATATATATATATATATATATATATATATATATATATATATTAATAATTGTTTTTTTTATAGATTCATTACATATTCTTTGGAATATGATATTTTCCCAAAAGAAAATTAATCGTCATATAGAAAATAACACTGAAATCTAAACTATTTATTGTGTGCTAAAGGAAACTAATTGTCAATCGAACATATTCACGGATCCTGCATTGAAGATCATTGCACATACTTTTACATTTAATATAATCGTAAAATAAAACCAAAGAAATAGATAACACATGATAGGAAACTATTTCACTCCTGCATCTAACTACCTAGTTCGAAACTATTCGTCGGAAGAAACTTTCTGGCACAAAACATCTTGCTAAAAGGTTGAAACGAACTCAGTTGAAAAGAAAACTAATCGTTGTATGAAACTATCTGCCAAAGTGAGCTATCTGGTGCCGTTGCATCACGCGGGCACCCTACTAGTGTGTGTGTGTGTGTGTGTCTATATATATATATATATATATATATATATATATATATATATATATATATATATATATATATGTGATGTGTAACACCACTTACCCTAATACTCTTTTAGCTAGCAGTGCCGTTAAGTCCCTAATTGGTTATAAGGGGGGGGGGGGGGGGGGGACTGAATAGAAGAGGTTATACTATGTTTAGCACGCATTGGACTACAACACAACGGGAACATACGCCAATAAGACTAAAACTGCATTTTTTTTGTACAAATGAAGGTGATGTCCAGACTTGAATCGATTCACTCCACCTTATCATTGAGGCAAGCTAGCATGAACGGACACAACGTTCTCCATGTGAGTGTTACTATTAGTGTACTTTATCGCTTGGGACATATCAAAATCACACTTGATTTCCCATGTTGCAGCTCTATCTAATTAGTGGATGTAATCAAACTGGTTTCTATAGAAATATTGATTATTTTACAACAAATAAAAGCACCTATAATATGAATTATCTGATTACCAGTTTTCAATAATCTTAATGAACTTCCTAATGTAAGATTTTAGTAGGAGTGATGCGATAGTCAAATCACAAATGCAGTTGATCGTATCTCATTAACGCAAATTTCAAAACGTCTATATAGCAATAACATAATCAATGGCAATAACAATTATTTCAAACTAAAAACAAAAGTATCAGGCTAAAATAGGGAGATATATGTTTAATTTAGATACTCACAGTACTATGAGCCATATGTTGAACGATACAAAGAGGAACGTGAACAGGAATTTTACCGGTGACATTTTCTTGCAAAAAGAATCTCCTTTTTATGTACAAATTTTCATTCAGCTCTTGTTGAAAAACACCAGACTCAGTGAAAAGCACTCAATCATTTTCACCTCTTTAAAACGCTAAATCGAATCGAAAACTTCTTTGACAAATAAATCATAAAGCTTTTCACTCAATCATTTTCACCTCTTTAAAACGCTAAATCGAATCGAAAACTTCTTTGACAAATAAATCATAAAGCCCAGGATGATGATGGGGAAAAGAAGATAGGTAAGAAGATAATTATGGGGGAAGTGGAACATGTCAAAATGTAAGATCTTAAGGAGAAAGAGAAAGATCAAAGAATGTTGAAATCCATGAAATGATGAGAGATGATAGAGTGTAATTTGAGAGCCAATATTTTGCTTTTCGTTTATCGGAGATGTTGGCAACGATCGTAGGTGTTCTTGAGGTAAACTCCAATCAAAGTTCTCCCCCGAGAGTATGGCTCTTTTACAATACTAGTCCCTAGAGTTTCAATTACCACAATTTAGCTTTATGTTTGAAGTTTTGTGATAAATTGGTCATTTCATAATGAGGCCAAATTGGTCTATTTGTCATACTAGTCATTTACCCGTGCTAAGCGACAAGTATGAATAAAATTTTCAGAAATTAATTTCTAAAAGCGTTTAATTCTTTTGCGGAAAAAATATTACTTTAAAGAAGGTAACATAAAAGGAAAAGTAATACTTTAAAATATAAATAATTATTGAAGATCTATAATCAAAATTTTTTTCTAAATGTAAAACAATTATTATCATAACTCAGAGTATATCATATATCAGAGTATATCACGACATATATTCTCTAAATCATGTTTATACTAAAAAACTAACTAATGAGGGCATTTTGTTATTTTTTTCAAACAATTACGTATGATTGTATAAAGTAAAATTAAAAAAAAAAAAAAAAAAACAGACTAGTTATTCAAAGATATTTATGAAAATAGAATCGTTGAGATATTAGTTTGTGAAACTCTTAAATAAATGTTGAAGTAGAACAACTTATATCACTATTTACAATGAAGTGTCATAATATACTCTAGAGTCTAGTCTTAAAGTCATAG